TCAGATTTACAAGACCAGAGTTGTGTTTTGTAAGCATATAAGATAACTTATACCTTATTTGATTAGATTATAAGTTTCTTATATCCAAATGAACTTGGTTTGATAGGACCAACTATTTTAAAAACTCGAGTTTATCTCATAAGCTTTCTTGAATAGTTTTTCATATAATCTTATTAAAATTTTTATTTCAATTAACTTATCAGCTAATTTTACCAAACAATTTTATTATATAAGCTAAATTTTCAACCATAAGTCGTGAGCTGCCAACTCGAAATTCACTTAAGAAAGCTATAAACAACTTATCAACTAGGTTGACATGGCCATATGTACCTCACGAATAACAAAAAGCTAAGTTGACATGGCCATATGTACCTCAGAAGCTTATAATATTCTCCCAAACATGCATATTCTCCCATTAATAAACTAATAATCAGTTCTCTTAAAACAACTTCAAGTATAAAAGTTTCAGAACCGAATCCTTGAGACTAAAATGGGCACAAATAGAACATAAAAAAATAAAAAAAAAAATTATGTACTTCAAATGCCAATCAATCCCCATAGTCTCCTATCTCCCCTCCATGCTTAGCTTCTTCGTACCACAATTAACTTAATAAACTCTGAATACAACATTAGCTAATTGTTACATCGACCTCTTTTTGTCGATCAAATGTCAACACATGGGGGAGAGTTCGCATTCTTGATAAAACACAACAAAACTAAATAACACAACACAATAATGGCGCCACAAAACCAAGATACCTATGGTCACAATGTTTCCAACCTCAACCCGATGCTCTCAGATTCAAAACATTTTATGCAAGTGACCAAAAGAAAATCATTTTTTTTTTTTTTTTTTTCGCGAGTTTTTCATCAGTGTCGTGACAAAGAAGGCCCTCCAAATGAGTACAAACGTGAAACAGGCGCAGGCTTCAGGTCATTTTCTCCCCCCAAAGAATTCCCCATACCGAAAACCGAAGAAGGCTCATGGCCCACAACAGCTGGCCTTTCGTGCAAGTAATAATTTGCTGTGAAACCTCTTTCCCCATCGGGAAGCATACTCACACGGTTCAGATCACTTGCATAAGTTGATGACGGTGTTGGGATATAAGGCGTAGTAGATGGAATAGTTGATGCCCCTGAAAATCCCAAATACCGATTCACCAGTGAAGTTGTGGCCTCGTCATAAGGGTTGCAAGCATTATTGTTAATATTATAATTCCCTGTGTTAGTAATAATTTCATTGGCGTTCGGAATAGGCTGGGGCCCTCTTAGGCCGAAAGAGCGATAATGCTTTTCACTGAGAAAAAATGGATCGTTTTGATTGGTGGGCTCAGTTCCAGTGGATGGCCGATTCCTAAGGAGCTGCTTCAGTTCATGGTCAAGTTTACTTGGCTGAGGCTCCCCTTGCTGGACGAGGCCTCTGTTTCTGTACTCTTGTTCGGTAAGAAAAAGTGGGTCCCGAGGAAGAATGGCGTTAGGATAAGTGTTTTGATGAATCGGATAGCGTTTGTGGACCATAGGCTGGCTATTGCTAGGATGTGATGATTTTGGTGCAGTACAGAACAAATTTATCAGATTTTTTACCTTCAGAAGTTAGGAAAAAAGAAAAAAAAAAATGGTCAATTACTTTCATTGTTCCGCAGAAAAGATGATCGAAAAATGCGGTTCAGATGAAAATGGACTTTTGATTTTCATTATACCTGCTTCATGGTCAATTCTGTTTTGAACTTGCGCGTCCTCTCGTCATAGTTGTTTTTAAGTGCTTTCTTAAACACGCTTTCCGGTAATGGAGGGCACTCCTTATGTACATTGAACCGGACCTACAAAACAACACGTCAACAAATCCTTAATAAAATACATTTTCCAAACTTGCCAAAAAAAAAAAAAAGAAACTGAAGACAAGATTCAATAACGAGGGAAAAGTAGAGAGAAACAAACCTGAGCAGGAAAACCACCATTGAAAGCAGTTGGCTCGAGTTTCATACCACCCGGAGATGAAGCCTCAAAGACCCCATACAAGACCTTTAGGTCATAATCGTAAAGAAAAAGTATGAGGCCGGGCTTAATGCCCATCACGACCTCTTTCTGCTTCAGGGGCACACCCATCAACTTGTACCCGAAACAATCCGGTTTGGTTTTCGCATTGCACATAAAAATCAATCCGCCAAGGCCTTTACTAGAATCGTCATCCTCATCATCATCATCATTATCATCATCATCATCGCGCGTCTCGTTCGACGTTTGTTTTTCCTTTTTCTTCTCGAAACTCAACTCCACATTCTTTCTACTAAAATTTGGATGGGTACTTTTGATTCGCTCTTCACCGCTTTCTTCTCGAGCTCTCTTCTTGTTGTCCCTCGAGGCCTGAGCTTGGGGACTCGGCTTTGGTTTTGCTTCCTGGTCATGTTTACAGCTCTCAAGTGATGACTTGTTCACAGCCGACGAGTTGAGCCGGTCGAGTTTGAGCCACGTGCAGGGCTTCTTCTTAACTACGGGAGGAGTAGGCGTAGATTCGTCATTAGCCCCTAGTTTTTCGTCTTCCTTTTTCTTCGGGGTCGGAGTTTCCACTTGCGAGGTCATCTCATCAGCAGGTGAAACGGTTTTCCCGTTCTTTTTCAGTTTTTTCTTGCCAGTTACAACGGGCTCTGGATTAGATTTGGCATGAACGGTATTCTTCTTCTTGTTCTTCCTGGGAGCCATACTCGCACGAGGTGATAGAGACAAACCTTAATAAGTATCAGATACTTCTAACACAAGAAAAAAAAAAATCTTGTTAGCATTAGCGTTAGAACAACGTTCTTATTTCGGATCAAAGCAGTTCGGTTACAAAACCACGCAAGCAATTTACATTACAGGAAAGTCAAAAAATCTCCTTCAGAAGTTTCAATTAGATCCCATAAAAAGTTGGAAATCAAGTCTCTTTCCTCAACTTATTCACCTTTTCCCAGGAAAAAAAACAAAGATCTTGGTTTTATCAAAACTTCAATACAGTCTTTTTTTCTTCAATTGGCTTGCCAGTAAAAAGAGATTGAACAAATATTCTATTTATGGTAAAAAGACACTAAACAATTCACATTTACTCCATTTTTTATCTTTCACACAACAAAAGAAGAAACAAAGCCCATCAATGTTTGTCAGGAATCCTAACCCTAGCTTAGAAACAACCTCAATCGCCATCAATTTCTCCAGCTATAAATTGAATATGATTCCAAAAAACCTTCCGAATACATATATAAACAACCATAATTCGATAACAAAACACACACAATTCCAACAAAAAAAGAAAAAAAAAAAAAAATTGCCTGATTTTGAAGATAAAGATAAAATTCAGTACTTTTGCAGTCATATAGAGATAGACGAAACACACACACACAACAACATATACAGAATATAACTAATAATCGGCCATAAATAACAACTATTTCTACACTGACCTGAGAGCTCTGCCGGCGAAGAGAGAGAGAGATTACGGGCAAAATTGGGTTCAGGTTTGAAGATTTTATATAAACATAAATAAATAAAAAAGCTATATATAGAAAAGGGATGTGATTGTGATTTGGAGTTATGGGTTGGGCTTAGTGAGGGGTGAAAGGCCCAAATGCATTACTCAAGTTACCTTTAAGCCCTTTTTACACATTTATCAATATTTTTATTTTTTAAAATACAACATTGAACATAAATTACATAAAATTACAAGTAAACCATTTATAAACGATGATAATATTTAGGGCAAATGCTAAGGTCCCGTTACGGAACCATCCCTTCAGGGTTGTAACCGTTAGATCATCATGTGACCGTCAAAGATAATTGATCTAATAGTTACAAACCGCGACGGAATGGTTTCGTAAAGGGAACGTAGCATCTTTCAATATTTAAAAACTTCAAAGTAGCAATAAGAATAAATTACAAATTAACCATTTTTAAACTGGCCCTTCAATTTTTAGGAATCTTCTAATCCTTTTTTTTTCCAATGAATAATTAAATTTTAATTATTTTTTAAATCTTCATTTAAAAAAAATAAATATAGGTATTCACTTATATTGGTACCCATTTAGAAATCTTAAAAATAATCAAGAAAAAATTATTTTTGTGAAGTTTTACTACGAAGTTGTCAGATGATAGGGCTTGGTGAGGCAGATAATAATCAATTAATCATTCACAAATCATAAATACATTATTATGGCTCCATGGAAATCCACACAATAAAAATAAAAATAAAAATAAAAATAAAATAAAATAAAAATACGGTTAGTTAGTTACATATACATAAACACATGAACTTCAGTACTTGGATTTACTTAAACAGTTTTCTGACAACGATAAGAAAATAAAAGAATCTCATAAACAACACACCTGCAAAACCCACGTCATATATGTTTAAATATTACTTGCATATAATCTATCATAAGGATGAGTTGCAGTTAGAGGATGGCAATTTGGGCGCCGGCCTGAGGACACGGGCGAGGCCTGGGTACAGAGATACCTGGCTCGATTTGGCCCATTGACATCCCTAGTCGCAGTGTTGCACTTTCACAGGCCATATAGTGTTATCGGCTGCCCCTATTTCTTTTGGCAAAATCTTCAAAAAGCTGATAGCTGTAGAAAGAAAGGCTCAGGAGTCTAAAGAGGATACCATAAACTTCAAGGAGCAGTATGCTGGGTCGCGATTGGTAGCGAATCAAAACCGATTTTTATTGAAAATGATAGGTAGTTAAAAATATGTGAGTGAATGAATAGTTTATTAAAGTTGACGCCATGTGTGAGAATGATTAATTAGTTTTATTTAATTATATTGATAATATTGAGGAGAATTGGGTTAGATTGAATTTGAGTTGAATTTTGAGTTAAAGAGTGAAAAAATTACCCGATCGGTCAAAACTGGTTTTTGATCCATTACCAATAGCACCCTTAGTGTGCCATATAGAAAAACAGAAAAGCCATGAGAAACTTAACAAGCTATAAACGTGCTCATAACCTTAAAGAAACGAGTTTCATTTCTTTTAGAAAAACGGTCTCTACTCCCACTCACAGCGAGCTTTTTAAGCGAGCTCGAGCTCGGCTCAGTTGCAAGCTTGAGCCTTAATGAGAGCCAAGCTGAGCTCACGAGCAGCTCATCTTGTTTGATCAG